GGCTAATCTACATGCCTCCGTCGACGGAGGCATGGAGTCTGGACACAGCCAATATGAGCACCCAAGCTGGGATTTCGGTACCCAATGAAATTCAATAGGACTTGGGCATCTAACTCTCTTTGGCCCCTTTGAAAGTTCCAACCCAAATCTCCACTGAGGCGTGAGGTCTTTAGTGTCTTTAGCAGTAATTTCAAAGGGCAAACATCCATTCCAGGAATGGATAGTGGTCTCCCTGTCTGCTCCTGACCAAGGGCGATTGATTCTCAGTTGACTCTTGTGCTATTCAGCACCAGTTCCCTCTAGATTCCTAGAACATCTCTAGACTCCTTGGGGCACCAGGAATTACTCCTTACGCACAGGGCTGCATTGCACCAAGTGGCACGTGGTGAACACCAGTCCTTCTCTCTCAGAACCGATGGTATTTGTGTTGTTTCCTCTAGAAGCTTGGAACTCTAAATTGAATGTAATCAGATAATTATTCATGTCTTTAACCTGCTATTAACCCCCGTCTGCTTGTTGTGTTGGGGTTCATTTCAGAGAGGAGATTAATAGCCATTAGCCACATTGGGTAGAAAAAGAGATTAATTGAAAGTATGCGGGGCCTTCTGTGAACGGGGCCCGCTGTCCTAGGTCGGCCATGTTCCATGTGAGCCCTAGATGGGCCACTATTGCTACATTCCTGCGATCTTATTTATCAGCCCCCTTGTGACCTTGGCTGACTTATTTCCTTGTTTCATTTTTTAAGAGATGCTCTGAAGAAGCTGTTTCTGCCTCGGTCCAAAATGCTCCTTATTTGCCGATCAGTGGCAGGTCTGGAGGGGCACTCCCAGCAGGCTTTGCAGCGCACGGGTTGCGTGAGGAAGACGTTCGCCAGCAGCTTTGCAGCAGTGAAGAAGAGATCTGTGTGTGCTCAGATCAAACTTCAGATGGTGAGTGACAGAGATTTGGTGCTCTCACATAGGTTAAGGGGTGGGTCAAGGTGCCTTTAGAACAGGGGTGGGCGATAATTTTTGGCTGGGGGCCACTTCAAAGTTTTGACATGCCATCTGGCTGCCTGGAAGGGGCAGGGCCTAAACCAGAAGGGGCGGGGCCAGGATGCTTCTGGGCTACCCCATCCACACACCATAATTTGTCTGGGGGTTGGGGAGCCACTTTGCCCCCCCTTCCCACTAGGTACCCACATCACTTGTGCTGCGCCTTGCCGCATACTCCTCACAGGGCGGGGGTTGGGTGGGAGGAGTCTTTGGGCCAATCAGGGCCTAGGAATAGGGAAGCACTCGAACCCTCCTCCCGCCCCGTGAG